ACCCAGCTCAATGGCATTTCTTTCTATACTCCCTTGATCAATTTTTTTTTCCCTCCCACGGCGATATTTCAGTACTCTTTACACCTCTGATTTTAAAACTGCGGGGTGAAGGATCCTTTCTCAGTCGTGTCATTTTTTTCTGTGGAGCTGTCTAATTTTGTGTTTTGAGTTTTCTTGTGAATTTTTCCCTGCTTAGTCATAGTCTTTTTATCTCTTGGTTCTCTTTGTCCTTTCCCTCATTTTTCATTCTTTTTCTTCTGTCTCTGCTCCCTTGTTCCCATTGGCTGTTAAATCTTTATGTGCTGCTTTTCTTTTAAGTTGTATTTTCCCCTTCCCCTCCAAGCTTAGAAATGCTTGCTCTGTCAAAGAAACGTGGAAGGGAAGGGAGCAATGGAAAGGTCAGTGCACAAATCTAGAAGTAACCAAACCCAGGGGCCCACCCCCTCCAGCTGTTTTGAGAACACGATGCTGTTCCTGATATGGTCACTTTGCCAAAATCTGTATGAAAAAAGGAAAGAACATTGGAATTAGTCCATTTCTCATTCTGCCTTTGCTTCACTGTAGGATCCCTAGGCATGTTACTTCTCATCTTTAGGCCTCAAGTTCTCTGACTCTAAAATGAGGAGGTTGGATCCCAGTAGTCTTTCTATACCTTGGAACCCCAGTATATGAAACATGTGACTTCCTGGGAAACTGCTGCAGATTAAGGGTCCAAAGTCGCCTTTATAATGGCCCACTGCCATTCCTCTTCCCCTATGATGTCTTGAAGGGGCGCCTTCAAAATCTGTGGAGCAACAGGTCATTTAATAGGAGTTAACAGGGAAGATAATTCATGACAAAAGTATTAGAACAATTAGAATCCATGTAGGGCTGGGGAGGCAACCCAGAGACTGGCAACATTAGGAACCTTCTACCAGCCTGAGGAGTGGAAGGAGTGGAAGGGGGTGGTGTTGGCAGAGTCCAGGCCAGCTTGTGGGCGCAGGAGTCACGGTGGCGAGACAGCAAGAGCTGGAGTTATGGAAGGAAGGGCTGTCTGGAGGGACCTGAGGCTTCTGAGGAGATGCAGTCACTGTTGGAGTGGCCACCTGACTTAGAAAGAGGAAGCCGAAGCCTGGTATCTTCTTCTCACTGTCCTATCTCCAAACAGTCTCAAATTTAGGCAGGAGCCAGTTGCAAAGAACACAGTTTGAAGGCAAGCAGGCAAATGACTGGCAGAAACAACTGAAAGGCACTGGGTCAGATGATCTTTAAACTCTCTTCCATTACATTCCAGAGTTCATAGATTCCCTGTAAGATTCCTGACTTCTGCAGTGAAGATATTAGTCTAGGGTTTTAACAGGTCGCTCTACCTAGGAATTGGAATAAACTACTTCTTCTACCATTTTAGAGTCTTGGGACAGCACCTGCTCACATCTCCACTTCCCTCCCTCCCAAAGCCTGGAGCAGCTGCATTTTTCCTTACGTGCGCTGTGCCAGCGTTTCATGAGAATCCTATTCCTGGTAGATTTTTGACCTTTTGAAGACAGCAATATGATCTTGCTCATGCCAGTCTGTGTTTATCACCAAGAGGCCTCTGGGAATGTGGAGCCAGAGTACAAACGGAGGGAATCAGTAGTATTACAGTCGAAGCTTTGCAGTTTTACAGTCACCTGTGATAGTGGGCCAGTGACTAACCTTCAGCCTGGGTTTCCTAAACGGTAAGATGGTTTTATTAGGACAGACTAGGTGCTATAGATGGGCTAGGTTCTGCAGCAGCAACAAATAATCCCCAGAATCTCAATGGCTAAAAGTCCACAAAGGTTTATTTTTCACTGCACATTCATTGTGATTTACCTGGGGATGTTCAGTCCTCACTTTTAACCCCTGGCTCATAGATCAGCTGCCATCTTGAATATTGCCAATCCCCAGGTCGAGAGAGAGAGTGTTTGGGTGGGTGGGAGGGTTGACAATCAAATGTTGGGCCTAACGTATCACGCACCATGTGTACTCATGGCCTTATTAGCTGGAACTAGTTACATGGCCTCACCTAACTTCAGCTAAGGCAAAGAAGTACCTGGAAGGAGGACAGTTAGGAATATTTGTTAGTTTTCATTAATGATAGTTACAGAGAAAGATAATAATACTTCTCATGATTTTTTTGGCCATTAGATAATATAAATGCTGATTACAATAGCTAACCTGTAGGAAATGCTCCATCAATAATAGGTAGAACAATTATTATTGTTGTTATTATTATTCAGCAGCATGCTTTACACCATCCTTCTACTTAGTAACTTCTCTTATTTTTTCTTCCCCATGAAAATGCAAAAGTAGACTTAACTTGTTCCTGTCTAGACATATCACAAATTCTTAATTAATGAAGTTGAGTTAATGAAGTTTTAGACCCAGTCAGGGACCCTACTCTTCCAAGTTTAGGATTGACAAATATAGGTAATTATTCTGTAAAATGATCACTTTGTGGAGTGATAGCTTGAGTATCAGCAGTGGCTTTGGAACTATGTTCACTGTGTTGGTTTTCAATTTAAGAGCCACAGACTTTAAGCAGCTTTTCATTTTGAGTCAATGCAGAAGCAGTCAATATGTATTATATGTCTATGAAGCTGGTCTCTGGATCAATTGCAATTAGTTTGCAGCAGATTGCATTAACATATCTAAAATTAATCCAGTGAGTGTTCTGATGAAAAGAAATTGACCATGACCACACTATGGCTGTTTTTAGTCTCTCTCAAATGTCCTTTTCAAACAGTATTTCTTTTTTTCTTCTGTTAATGGCTTTAAATTGGTACGTCAACATAAACTTAATCTATTGATCCTTCCCCATTGGCCTTTTAAAAGTGGTCCCAGAATATGGCACATATCATGTTCAATCTCTTCTTTCTGTAGGGGGCTTTTACTAAATGCCTCAAACTGAATTTTTTCTTGGCATGTTACATGAGGTGCTATTAAGACTACTAAATTGACGAGTACGTTCATTTTTGAATTGTTGTGTTTTTCAAATTACTAATATTTCATCAAGACTTAAAAATTCAGAAATAAGAGTAACAAATCATATACAGTTAACAAATTATATACAGTAAACAGTTGTGAGCACTGCTTGTCTGACAGTTTATTTTTATCTTAGCATTTTCTGTTTCTAAAGAAGAAGTGCAAGCAACTTCAATTTTAATAACATCATTACCAATATTTATAAGGATGGAACAAAGGCAGAGCTTGAGGCTTGATCATGTTGAAATTTGAATTTTTTTACAAGTGTGTGTAAATTATTTTAGATCTGAAGGACTTTTACTTTTTTTAGAGAAAGTCAGTTTCTGGAAATGAAAAGTTATCTATATCGGGACAAAAAAGACAAAAGGCAGGATTTAATTATTTGGCTATCTAGCTAGTAATTTTTTAGTATCTTCTGTATGCCAAGCACTATCACATTCTTCATAAAGACACAAAGAAATTGAAGGCACACTCTGTCCTTGAGTAGAACCCAGTCTTGCTCTAAGGTTCTGGAGCCTCTTTGGAATGCCTCTCTTCCAAAAGAGCTTCATGAGTGCGTTGTAGCTTGGAGATGCCAGAAGAACATGCCATTTTTTTTTTTTTTTTTTTTTTTTTTTTTTCTGGTACGCGGGCCTCTCACTGCCGTGGCCCCTCCCGTTGCCGAGCACAGGCTCCAGACGCGCAGGCCCAGCGGCCATGGCCCACGGGCCCAGCCGCTCCGCAGCACGCGGGATCCTCCCGGACCGGGGCACGAACCCGCGTCCCCTGCATCGGCAGGCGGGCTCCCAACCACTGCGCCACCAGGGAAGCCCAGAACATGCCATTTTTAAGGACACATTAAAGGTCCTGAAAGCTAGTGGTTCCATGTGGTAAAGCCCTGTGGGCCTCAGTTTATGGTCTGCATGATACTGCTCGGACATCCACTGAGATCCTTGACTGAAGCCGCTAGGAGGTATGTCAGGTGATCTTCCACCACCAGTATTGTGAGCCAGTTGTGTGATTGATTTTTGGTTGGTTTGTGCATTAATGGCATCGTTATCTTACCTCTAGTGAACTGTGGTTCCTTTGCATCATAACTCATGGATAGAAATGAAACTAAGTGTATTCATTTTTTTCTTTTTTTCTTTTCTTTTAAAAACAAGGCTTATGGATTTGATAGGGAATGTCGATCTTATTCTAAAGCATGAGAAGAATTTATTTGTTCATGTCACTCCGTCCTTTGATTATTTTCTTCCAGCACAAATATAAACTAATTGATTAGTGCATATTGGAAAACCACTTTCACATGATTCTTACACAGAGTTACTTTAATACACAAATTGCAGTTTTTAGGAACCTAGTAGTTTCATTAATGGTGACTTTTTCAGGTTACTGTACTCAAGTTTGGTGTGTGAAAGAGATAATCTCATTAAACACATAATGACTGTACCTAGAGTCCATTAGAAACCACAACAAAGAGGTGGATTAGTCTGTGGCCCATTGACCTCAAAGAGTTGAAACAAATTTCCTGAGATACCTTATGATGATTCATGCTGTGTGTACAGTTATTAAAATAATGCTTTGAGCTTTGTTTGGAGTGGAGATGGGGGAAAGCATATGCTATATAACAGAGTCCTTAACATTTTTTAAAGTAACTTTTTACTGAAGTCCTTATAGACTCACAGGGAGCTGCAAAAATAGTGCAAGAGTACACAGGTGTACTCTTCCCCCAGCATCCCCTAGTGTTGACATCTTACATGGTTTGAGTACAGTATCAAAACCAGGAAATTGACCTTGGTACATTCCTGTTAACTAAATTACAGACCTTATTCATTCAGGGGTGTGTGTAGTTGTCCTTAACATTTTTGATTAGAAAAACAAGCATGAAGAATTCATTATAGATTTTTTTTCTTTTGCCTCCAAAATCTCTGTTGCTGATTGCCTTCTGAGGGTACCTGTAAGACTGGCCCTATAAGTTGACTGTTATTTTTCATGCTGTTGTTAAGTCTCCTTATCTCTCTCCTCAATTTCTCTAGGTGGTTCAGTTAACCCCCAGAAGATGGTTGAACCTGCACGAATACCAGAGCAAGAAACTAATGTCTGACAACGGAGTGAAAGTTCAAAGATTCTTTGTAGCAGACACTGACAATGAAGCTCTGGAGGCTGCTAAGAGACTAAGTAAGCTAATTCATAGTAGGTGAAGTACGCTTGGCCAAATTAGTGAATTCACAGGTAGTGGTTTCCCACTAGTTAAATTTCTTTGTCACCGGTTATACTAACAGTGACAGGTACAGTGTAGAACTTTGAGTTGCAAGGGCAAAATGCCCAATTAAGAAAACTTTATTCTGTTACATGAGATAGCAGCATATGGGGTGCCACTCTATGGTAAGTTTTCCAAGTCTCTCAGTCACCGTTTCACCTAGTTCTCTTATCTGTGGTTTAGTGGCTGCAAGAAAATTGGTTGAAGAGTGTAAAGTGTCAGAGAGAAGCCCGTTGCAGGGTAAGTCAGGCAAGACAGTTGGCATCCTTTATTAAGCCTCTTAGAACATGCGGAAAGTTTCCTCTGAGTGACTGGAGGAGAGAAAGGGAAGAATGTGCATTTTGAAGTCCTTTTTTGTTTTTTTTTACATCTTTACTGGAGTATAATTGCTTTACAATGGTGTGTTAGCTTCTGCTTTATAAGAAAGTGAATCAGTTATACATATACATATGTTCCCATATCTCTTCCCTCTTGCGTCTCCCTCCCTCCCACCCTCCCCATCCCACCCCTCCAGGCGGTCGCAAAGCACCGAGCTGATCTCCCTGTGCTATGCAGCTGCTTCTGCTGACTTTGGTTCAGTGTTTTGCCCTTTCATTTATCAGCTCTGTAACTTTGCGTAAGTACCTTTTCTGTGCCTCAGTTTCCTTGTCTGTAAATCAGTGCTAATGTGTTTCCCTCCCAAAGCTATTTAGAGCCTTTAAGGGAGACTGCACACTGGTACATGGTAGAAAATCTAATCAGTTTCCCTAGTTATAGATTGAGAAATTAGGACTCAGATTTTGCTGTTTTTCAGTGAATATTCCTCCTTTTGCCATATAGACTCTCTCGTTGTCAGTCTGGATTAGCATTGTCCATTAGAAATATAATGTGAGCCACACAAGTATTTTAAAATTTTCTAAATCACCTTAATAAAAATAAAAAGAAACAGGTGAAATAAATTTTAATAATATATTTTGTTTACCCCAGTATATCCAAAATATTATCATTTCAAGATGTAATTAATATAAAACAATTTTCAAGGGGTTATTTTATATTCTATTTTTGTGCTAATGCTCACAAATCTGATTTATATATTACATCACCAGGACATCTCATTTCACAGCAGCCACATTTCAGGTGTTTGAAAGACACATGCTGTCTTGTGGCTACCCTGTCGGACAGTGCAGATCTGGACTCTAGAAGGATGTGCATGTGCATTCTTTGCCTGCAATCTTGGAGAGCAGTTGTTTGCCATTAAAAAAGAAAGCATAGACCATCTGCTCACTGGCCTTTCCCAGGCAGCCGTAGCAAAGTTTGAGAGTGCTCTGTATTTCACTTTTCCAATTTTCTGTACTCTTTTAAGAGTAGGCGATGAGGTGCTTCGGTTAGTAATTGTTCTTTTATCTCCCTTTCAGAGTTCCCCCTGGTGCTTATACGCCAGATCCTTTCTGTTATTTCAGTTGAAATGTATATTTATTTTTTCTTTCAACAAATAGTTATTGTCAACCACGTGTTTTAGGCCTGGTGGATGCAGCTGTGGAAGATGAGCAAGCCCTTTTTCTTCTTCAAAGTTACATTCTAGAAAGGAACAAATTTGTAATTTTCAGATGCTAAAATTGAAATTGAGAGTCTATCTATCTATATATATATATATATTTTTTTTTTTTTTGCGGTACGCGGGCCTCTCACTGTCATGGCCTCTCCCGTTGCGGAGCACAGGCTCCGGACGCACAGGCCCAGCAGCCATGGCTCACGGGACCAGCCGCTCCGCGGCATGTGGGATCCTCCCGGACCAGGGCACGAACCCGCGTCCCCTGCATCGGCAGGCGGACTCTCAACCACTGCGCCACCAGGGAAGCCCGAGAGCAGTCTATATTTTAAGAAATGAAAATTGGTTTTATTCTCAAGAACTATCAAAATTGGTTTTTATGGTTTAAAAAAAAAACAGTAAAATTAGACTTAAACCTGGATGAGAGTTCCGCAGTGAACTGTGGTAATAGACTCAGTAAAGGTTAGTATTCTAACATCATTACATGAAAGGATCGTTTTTGTTTTATACTCCTCTGGTTTGGGGATTGGGTAATGAGAGCAAGAAGTGTGGAGTTCAGGTTGGTCTTTGGTCCTCATTTTCCCTATTATTTTCGTAAATGTGCTGACACACTAGTAGTCCAGGTCTAAGGATCCTTCTTAAGGGAATTCTGGAAGCCAGCTGCTTACCCCCCACCCGCCTTAAGTGGAGCAAGGCTAAGAGAATTTACCATTCAGATTTTCAAAGAGATTTGGACTTAACCGGACTAATTGGCGTCTTAGTCATGGATTTGTTTTATAAGCATTTATTTAGCCACCACTTTGTGGGTGGGAATTGTATACTGTGTTTGTCAGACAGGATTTTTGCTCTGGAAGAATTAGCAAGGTGATATTTATATGCCAAGGCAGGGTGGACAGAGGGGAAGAGATAGACAGTGAAGCAACTTTAAATAAAAGAAAGTTAAATTAAAAAATGAAAATCAACTTTTAAAAAAGACATTTTGGTTCCTGAGGAGTGGTTTTTAAGGAGAATGAAACTGGATTTAGAATGATGTGGCTGCATGTGTGCCTTGGCCTGTGCATACCTGTGATCATCCTTTAGATGGGGTGGCCCTGGGAAGGCCTCACTGTGATCCTGCTTAGAGCTAAAAGAGAATTTAGAGAACTAATCCGAGCACCTCATTTTCTGAATGAATGTAATCCTCCTCTTACTCAGTAAGTCGTTTTGGGAGAAGGAAGATCTCTGATTTTTGTTGTTGAGTAGACAGTTTTGGTCACAGGAGAAATTTATAGTACTGGAGAAGGAGATGGTACCAAGTCTAGTTGGTTAAACATGAAACAAGTTGATAGTAAATATGAAAGGAGGTATGCACATCATTGAGATTGCTTGGAGTGAGCAAAACGAAAAGAAGCTGGCAAAACTTCACCCTGTTTACGTTCTTGTCTCTGTAAGATTGACAAAACCAACAGCACAATTGGGAGTTTTACCAAGGAGATTTGAGGTTAAGGTTGAAGCTGGATCACACATATGTCTTTCTGACTGTCCTGAAAATGAGACCTCCACTTTATAATTACAGTATTTTAATGGGAAAAAATTACATAGAAGAATAATATGTGTAACGTGCAGTAAGTGCTATATAAGATTTTATTGTTGTCATCGTCGGCAGCAGCAGCATATAATTCCAAAGGGTTCACTGCTGTCATGATGCAAATTCACAGACAAATCCGAGACATCTCATAATGAGTATCCTGTCGATTGTATGTTCGGAGAGTTCACATTATACTTTGCAAAGTTTGTAAATGATTGAAATGTATTTGCTTACCTTTCTACTTTATTGATATTTGAATATGTCTTGAAATAAAATGACATTTTATAAAATATTTTGAAAATAAATACTGATATTAGCCATGCCTGTGATTTCCATTGTAATCTCTGTGTAGATCATCTTACAAATCTCTTTCTTTGTGTTTAAAGTCACATTGCTGGTTTTCTGTTTGCCATCTACTTAAGGGTATCTCTGTCTTTCCTGGCCCAGATGGAGCTTGTCATCTCTTGGTTGCTCCAAACTCCTTCTCCCTCTTAGCTCTTCCTACTTACCCAGCTGAGATATCCCTGTGTCATCTTTAATGCTTCTCATGTCTGTCATATTCAGTCATTTGCCAAAGCCTGCCATTTTTAGTGCAGCGTCATTGTTTTGCTAAAGCAACTAAACAGGCAAGATAAGGTTAAAAACTTGCCAAGGTTGTGCAGCTAATAATTGACAAAGATGGGATTTCTACCCAGCCAGGTTGGATTTAATCTCTTCTCCAAGCATTTTTCCTCTTTGCTAACTTGATGTTCTTCTTGGGAGATTTTAATATGTGAGTCAGCATTTTTAAGATAGGAAATGCATATTAATAAGATTAGAAGATTGAATTAAAACTAGATGTGGCAGGTTCTAAGGCACAATTTATAGAAACTGTGTAATCTGAAGATATTTTCTTAAGGATTCATTTTGTTGTATCTCTTTGGGCAATAGAACGTTTGGCTGTGTAGTTATAGAAATCTTGTTAATTTGACCATTTGTTTCAAGTGGGTAATGCAAACCTTTTGTTTCTGAAACAATTCATAATGATAAGCTATTGAGCGAGATCCTCATTTTGTTGCACAGAAAATGAACTTACGTCTGATTGAGAGAGTAAATTTGGTTTGGTGAATTAAGTTTTTAATATATGGATAATATTCATTTCTGCAGCATTTTTTATGAGCTACCTTTTGTAATCACACTTTCAGGAAGGAGTTGTTTCCTTTGCGTATAATTTTCTCAGGAGATTTATTAATTATACGGATTTCTCCTGTATGGATTACATTTAATGTATACAGTCAGCAAATAATTACAGAATACCTATTGTGTGCATGACTAACTTTTATGTTGTGTTTCATTTCTCTTTAAAAATGAATGAAGGCAGGGCTTCCCTGGTGGCGCAGTGGTTGAGAGTCTGCCTGCCGATGCAGGGGACACGGGTTCGTGCCCCGGTCCGGGAAGATCCCACATGCCGCGGAGCGGCTGGGCGCGTGAGCCATGGCCGCTGGGCCTGCGCGTCCGGAGCCTGTGCTCCGCAAAGGGAGAGGCCACGACAGTGAGAGGCCTGTGTACCGCAAAACAAAAAAACCAAAACAAACAAACAAAAAATGAATGAAGGCATAAGTCTTTCACATAACTCAAAAGGCCTGTCTCAAAGATGTGTATAAAAGCATAGACAAAACTTATCTAGGACCACCACTTTTTAGTTTTTGGAATCTCCACAGTTTATTAATTATTCCATTCATATTGATATGAGACTCTCAACATTTGATTAAGCAAGAAGATTGTATTTCAAAAACTCAGTTTTATTTCTTGTCGGGAAAGAAATTGAAATGTGAATGGAGAAA